ACGTTGAACAAAAGCCCGGCCCGAACACAGTCTTGAACGTATGTATTGTGGGTGCTGCGTGGTTTAAACCGCTCGAGAATCATGATTCATTACACCGCGTGGAAGTGAGCGGCGAGTCTTCAAATGCTGATGTGAAAGCAGCTGAAGAAATTTTGGGGACTCTAGAGAAGCTGATTGCAGAGGAAAATTGCTTGGCAGAGCAAATCTTCAAAATGGATGAAACCTCCCCATTCTGGAAACAAACGCTTTCCAGGACTTTCATCCACCAGGAGCCCAAATCAGTGCCAGGTTTCAAGGTTTTTAAGGACAAGATCAGAGTCTTGCTTGGGGGCAACGTGGCAGGCTACAAACGGGAGCACTGTGATCTGGCAAGGCGAGAACCACAGGGCCTTCGAGCGTGTCAATAAGCACCCTCTGCCAGGGGCCACAGGAGCAGAGGGAGTCACGGGTGACCCCTCTCCTCTTCCAAGATGTCCTCCTGAATTGCTGAGCCAGCAAAGGCAGCCATGCTGTTTGGAGAGGAACGTCCGTTTCAAGATTTTGTTTATTGCTGATCACATTCCCACACTGCCTCGTTTCCTGGGTGACCTTCCCCTCATATCATTATCATTGTGGTGTTTGTCCTTCCAAATCCCGCCTCTTTGAAACAACATTATTCATGTTAGATACCCCCTCTGTGATCCAACTAATGGATCAAGGAGTGACAGTAGCATTTTGGGCTTCTCTTGGAGGAGGACTTGCTTACACATTTACAGCAACTGAAGTAGCCGCGTGGACAACACAGAGCCAATTCTGGAAATGTTACAACATCTGTGACACATCAAGACCCTTGCTCAGGTTGGGGTGATGTCACCAAGGAGTGGATGAATAGCATCTGGAAAGACACTCAAGAGTTTTGCCCATGACTTTGAAGTCATTGCAAGGAGGAGGAGGACACAGCAGGGAGCCCAGCTGTGGCTGAGGCGGCGGACATCTTGACCCTGGTGTGGGTAAGGGTGTCACTGAGGAGCAGAGAGGGGGTGCTAGAGGAGGCGACTAGAGAGGAGTTGTTGGAACTGGAACGGGAGCATGTAGCTGCAGAAAGAGCCAAGAGAAAAGGAAACTGCAGGAGAAGAAAAAGAATTTCCTCAGGAAAGTCACAGTGAAGGGGAGACTCTTGCCTAGGCCTTAAGATGTTCCTTAAAACGTTGGAAAACTTTGAATTTCACAGCAACCACAAAAAGGTTTTCATTAGCAAATCTATGATGAGAAGAAACAGTCAAGCAAGCCACTGTTTCTGAAACATTGAGAGATCCTCAGGCAGGCCCTCAAGGAGGTGGTCCAGACCTGTTGGCCCAGTTCATGGCCCAAGTTTGCCATAGTGGCTGTAGATCTTCCAGGGGGCAGGGCATGGACGGCAGTGGCACAAGGCCTGCTCCCACCTAGGCCTCCGCTGACGGGTGTGCTTGTAGCTTAGCTTAGCTCTTAGAAAAGTGTTATAGGAACCATTTTTTTTTTTTTTTTTTTTTTTTTAACTTTGGAGGTGCTTTATTATACCACAAATTCCCAGAAAATATAAGAAACAATATTTCTGAATAGGACTAATAATTTCACAAGCACTAGAACTTTATTGACAATAGTCAAATTTTCTAGGGTAGAATACAAGTATTTAAGTTACCTTTTTAAAATATCAACCCATTTCATACATTTTATTGGGAAATTATAGCAGATATGACTTTAGTTTTCAATAGTCCATGTAGTATGTGAAATCAATGCACGTTTTAATGAGGTGGGATGAAAACTGCATGTGAAAAGCTCTGCCTAGATTGTCAGGCTCCTGTTTCTGCACTCAGTATCAGAATGTCAGAAAAATCAAAAGTTGTCACCAGAAATGTTCCTAATAAGCTGAAGATTTAACAATAGAAAAAAGCTTATAGAATAAAGATTTAGAGAAGGAATTTTTGGATAGACGTAAAATGAACTTGTGTTTTAAGCTAAATGTTACTATAAAAAGTCAGGAAGGTAAATTATTAGGACGCTAAAATAAAGTTATAGTAAGCTAAGGTTAATTCATTTTATCTATTGAATAAAGAAAAATATTAATTTTTTAAAAGAGGTTTTTGCCAGAGAGTGAGAGAGACAGAGATAGTGAGAAAGAAAGTGAGAAATCACCCTCCCAGGGGGGTTGGCCACACCACAATCCCTTCTCCTCCATTCTCTTCCTGGGATCTTGGGCACGCACAAACATGTTCCTGGCATGAGTTTCAAGCCACTGGGTCCAGGACTTGAACGTGGTTGGCCATGTGGGGGGTTCAGCAACATAACTGCTACGCCATCTGCTGGCCCCAAGAAAAGTATTTTTTAAACGAATACGTATGGACTAAATGGACAATGGCTGTGTAGTGTGTTAAATTGGTTCCCAGGTCAGTAGAAGTGACCCTGGCCACAGGAGCTCTGCACACTGTCTGGCTTGTCCTAAGAGGCCTGTGAGGTGCTGCTCCTGCAGCGAGTCTTGACCACAGGTGAGTTGTGTGACAGTAAGCAACTATCTCATCTCTCCACACCTCAAATTCTTCCTCTATAAAAAAGAGAAAATTCTGACCCCTCCCATTTTTGAGAGGCTCCATTAGAAATTGAGAACTGCAATGAGGTGTTGTATGCACAGAGGTTTTGCTAGAGTTTCAAAAGAGAAAAATAGTCATAGAATTGTTCCACCACTCTGCTTGTGACTTCAAGCAAGCAGGACTCCAAAGATCCTGCACTGTGAAGGTTTCCACAGACGTGGACACACCCAGTGCGTGTCATCTTCCTATGTGCCAAGCAAAAAAAGTGTATACATAAATGTAAGTGTTCCTGATTATATTAATCAACACATTAGATTTTTCAAATGCAGACTAGAAAATATGTGGCAGAAATTGACAATTCACTATTCCAATATTGATTTTCCTTACTCACCTTAGTAACAAACTTGGCACATTGCTTCCTGGAAACTAAAAACAAACCAACAAACTGTATTTCTCTTTTTTCTTTACAAGTGGGTATAAGCTTTGGCAATTGAGACTTAAGTGGAAATATTGTGTTGAAGTTATAGAAATACTGCTTAACGGGAACCTCATCATTGGGGATGCCCTTTGTCTCTTTGCTCTGCTCTCTTTCATCGCCAGCGTGGACGTTAGGATCGAGCACTGCCATGAGCTCACGTGATCTGACCAGTGGGAGACATGACAAAGGACGATGGAGCAGAAACACAGCAGCCTGGAGTCCTGATGAGGTTGCGGGCTCCTATTTCTAGATTTCTTTTATGATGAAAATATTAAAAGGAAAAATTAAATCTAAGTCATAATATTTTAATCTACCTCAATTAATCTTACTTGATCCCGCTCCGTGAGGTGTTGGTTAGGAAGCTGGATTCCGTAGGATGAGCTGAGTGGCTCAAGTCCCAGCTCCAGAAGCTTGAAAAACACCAAGTATGTGGGCATGGAAACATGGAAGAGAAGGGATTACAGTATGACAATGCCCCATTGGGGGTGCTTTCTCCCTCTTCCTCTCTCTCCGTGTCTGTCTCTCTCTGATAAGCACATGCACCCTCTGACCAAATCAATCAATAAATAAATGCAGACAACTTAGCTTATGTACTACAATACTCTTGTCTTTAATTAAACTAAACCAGCATTTTATATAATTAAATGTACCTTACTTATATTGGTATGGGAAGGTAGAAGGTAGATTGAGTTTAGATGAACTATACAGTCTGATTATCCTAAAGCAGCAAAAAAAATCCTTGAAGTTATGAATTCTATTATGTACTATACTCTCAGATTGTAAAGGTTTTACTCTGCATTATATAGCTAAATTCAGCATTAAACAGAAAGTTTAAATACAGAATCAAACCCGAGGCTATATAATCTACTATTTAGAAAACCAACATTTTGGCTTCAGCAAAATGATATCATCTATCATGTTAAGTTAACTCTGTAACTTAATGTGATTATACCCATAGTTTTGACTGCATTTAATACATAGATCTATTTTGTTATTAATGTCATTTTCCTCTAAGCAAAAGGACTTTATATTTAAGTACAAGTATAAAAAAAAAATAGAGGTTCCAAGATTGTTTTCCCTCAACAGGAAAGGATAAATTACTCAAATTTGGAAAATAACACATTTGAGTAAAGCAAAAATTCCATGACTACATTAGCTGCAAGTTAGTCTGAAGACAATTGTTAGAATAGATAGAAAATCCAGCTACAAATCTTTGCTGAAGTATCTGTATTCCAAATCGGTGGCTGGTCAAACCAAGAGCTTCTCGGCTTACTAAGACTTCTGCAGTATCACCTTTGTTTAAGAAACCTCGCTTGGATTAGCAGAGAGATGACTCCTTCATGGCACTACTAACTTCTGTAGTCAGCCCTTCACCCGCATCTCACAGTCTTTCTCTTCCAGCGGTGACTGGCCTAATCCAGACCATGTGGCCTTGTGCAGCAATTTCCTCTGGAATGGTCTCAGGGCTCCTCCTGGGAGAGGCTGTGGACTCTGGCCTGCTCTCCCATTACAATCCAGCCCAGGGACTGCAGAGACTAAAGTGGCCACCTGTGATAAGGTAGCATGTAGGAGGAAGAAGGACTGCTGACTTACAGTTATGGTCTGTAACCTCGGGGACGAGGATGTTAAAAGGCCAGCCCCATAGCCTCCTGGTTAGGGGCCAGTCATGTGGGACAGCTGACCCCGGGTGCAATTCTTCAGTTACACCGTGATTCTTCCCTGCCAGGCGAGTGCACTCTGGCTGGACCCCTGGCTTCAGGATGGGGATCAGCCCACCAAGAACTCTGCCTCCACAGTCCAGCCAATAGAAAGTGCGCCCAGAGAGCCAGAGGCAGGGCCAATCCTCGCCTCAGAACTCCTCGGAAGGCCGGGGCAACAGGACTGTGAGTGTAAGGGCATCTGGGCGACGCGGGGAGACCTGCCTCTAGAGGGAAAAGAAGAGAGAAGACAGAAGGAAGAGAACGCAGGGATGCATTTACCTTTAAAGGGTTCCCCACGTACACGAAATGGGAAGACAGTGATCCCATGTGGATCCCAGGTGGCTGACCATGGCTCTAATCCTGGCCCTGGTGGCTTAGAAAACACGCCAGATGCATGTGTGTGCCCCAAATCCTGATTGGGAGGAGAATCAGAGATGGAATTGCGATGTGACCATGCCCACTGGGAGGTACTTGTTCACTCTCGTTCTCTCTCTTGCTCTCTCTAGTGAGCACACGCACAGCCTGGTGATGAATACACTTGATGATGAGGTGGCAGAGGTGCGTGTGCTTACAGCCCACTGGTGGTCCTTATCAGCCCCCGCTCGGAAGGCCGGGGCAACAGGACTGTGAGTGTAAGGGCATCTGGGCGACGCGGGGAGACCTGCCTCTAGAGGGAAAAGAAGAGAGAAGACAGAAGGAAGAGAACGCAGGGATGCATTTACCTTTAAAGGGTTCCCCACGTACACGAAATGGGAAGACAGTGATCCCATGTGGATCCCAGGTGGCTGACCATGGCTCTAATCCTGGCCCTGGTGGCTTAGAAAACACGCCAGATGCATGTGTGTGCCCCAAATCCTGATTGGGAGGAGAATCAGAGATGGAATTGCGATGTGACCATGCCCACTGGGAGGTACTTGTTCACTCTCGTTCTCTCTCTTGCTCTCTCTAGTGAGCACACGCACAGCCTGGTGATGAATACACTTGATGATGAGGTGGCAGAGGTGCGTGTGCTTACAGCCCACTGGTGGTCCTTATCAGCCCCCTCCTCTCAGCACGAAGAGTGGCAACGAGCCCGGCTGTGCTAGTGTGGACCTTCTCACCAACTGCACAGACGTTTTCACGTTTCAGGAAACGCCTGAACACGACGGGCAGTGACTTTGCGACTTCACCTCTCCATGAGTTACCTCTCCGTGAGGTGCTGAGAGTGGCTGCCCCTCTAAGACGGCAGACACACAACACTGCCTTGCTTTTCACTTTCAAATACGGTTTCTCCTTTCCCTGTCCACAAGGCAAAGTCCCGATTCCTTAGCAAGCGGAAGTACAAGGTGACGTCTCAGCTGTGCGCATCAAGAGCAACGCTGTAGTAATTGGAGCTTTCGCAGTGTACGCACCAAATAGCTTTTAAAATACTTGGCTACCTTCACTTTGACCAATATTTAACTAAAAAAACAGAGTAGACAAAGAGCAACCAAACATCCTGCATTTTAATGTTGCCTCAATGTTGGCAGCAATTTAAGCAAGTGCGAACTAGGCCTCTTTTCAGAGTAAGAAAATGTGGACTTGCAGACCAAGTTCAGGTCAGACACATGTGGAGGGCCCGGAAGTGCCGAAGGGCCCCTCTACCTCAGGCTGGAGAGGGCCGAGCACTCTGTCAGTGCCGGAAAGGGAAGCCGTGGGGGACGCCAGACCTCTCCGCAGCAGCCCCTGCTCGGGTGTCTCAGAAGGCTCACCAGTTCTGTCCAAACCCCTTGGCTGGTAGAATCCCAGGGAATGTGCCCGCCATTGGCATCATGGGCCTTGGATGAGGTTTCCATGCTGAATGCCCAAAGGATTCTGGGTGCATAGGTTGGTTACATAGCCAAAACTTCCGAGGGCTGTAAATGAGCAACCCCAAACTCCAAAGGGGTGTATTTTAAGAACTGGAGCTGGCAGTGACTCTTTGTGTACGTGGGGAACACTTTAAAGGTAAATGCATCCCTGCGTTCTCTTCCTTCTGTCTTCTCTCTTCTTTTCCCTCTAGAGGCAGGTCTCCCCGCGTCGCCCAGATGCCCTTGCACTCACAGTCCTGTTGCCCCGGCCTTCCGAGCAGCTCTGATGGCAGGAGTGGGCCTGCCTCTGGCTCTCTGGGCGCACTTTCTATTGGCTGGACTGTGGAGGCAGAGTTCTTGGTGGGCTGATCCCCATCCTGAAGCCAGGGGTCCAGCCAGAGTGCACTCGCCTGGCAGGGAGGAATCACGGTGTAACTGAAGAATCCTGCCCTGGCTCAGTTTTCAGCACAAATGCTTCCTGTCTTGTGAACTGCCTGTTTGGGTATGTGGGAAATGTCTACACGGACAGCACTAACTGGTCTAAACGCAACTGCCTTTGTGCCCAGAGCATCTGCGCCCTGCAGACATCTTGGCTTTCTTCTGCTTTCAGGTAGTGTGCATTCTGGCCGGAGCCAAACTCCAGGGCCAAGGCTGGGTTCTGGGCCTGCCAACCCTGTGGAGCAGCTTCACAGGGCTTGTGAGCCAGTTCCAACTGGCAAAGAGCCCCCGCCTTTTAATGACAGGCACTGGCACCTTCGTAGGACAGAAATGGAAATGGGAAATTGCTGTTCTTCCCTGTGCCTTGATGACCTCAGACGGATATCCTCATCAAAATACCTTAAACTAAATGTGCCCAACAATATCGATGATTTACTGCAGAAAAAGTCTGAAGCTCTAGCGTCATGGTTGTCATTATTGTCATCGTCATCCACAGCGAGAGGGTGCGAGCAGAATTAAATAGTGCCCTGGAGACTCTGAGGCCCCTGACTGGATCCTCTATGATCTGGCCCGTGTGTTGCCTGCACATCTCATGAGCAGGCGCAGTGCCAAAGAAACATGTGTGAACGTGAATACCCGGCAAGGAGCGCGTGTTTCTCAGTGAACGTCAAACCGAACGGGAAGTAGGAAAGAACCGCCCCTTCTGCTCCTCGGACAGGACAAGGCCACTCGGGCTTCCAGACAGCAGATCCCCACTGGTGCAGAAGTCAGAGGCGAAACAGAAGCTGTGCATCTGTCCCTGCGGTGAAGCTTGGAAAATAACCCTGTTCCAACAGATGAGTGTGTTTCACGCCCAGCGGCCCAGAGCAGGGAACCTCTGGGAGTCAGATCTGTATGCTTTGCTACTTCCCAGGCTCCGACTGCCATTCTGGGCACGGGGGGAGAGGGACTAATTGTTGGACTGCTCTTGGCATGTGTTTTATGCTCGATGACTGTATCCTTTAGTTAATAGCTCACACGTTCGCAGCTAATGTGTGAGGTGGGGGGAGTCCAGTGTGTGCCAAGGACCGGCAACTTGGTTTATTCCCTCTTACGTGGTGTGGAAACATTGTCTCTGGAGAGCGTTTTTCTCTTTCTTTTTCAAAATACAGCTTTATTGAGATATAAGTGACATACATTGCACTACTTGTGGGTAAAGTGGACGATCGACACGTTTATGTATCTCTCCAGCTAATTAGCACGTTCATCTCTGCAGAGAGTTTCCTTGAGCCCCTCTGACCCTTCTCCTCTCTCCCATCCACCCTCCTGTCTCCTTTGCCAGGTGACCAATGATTTCCACTTGTTCCTGTATGTCAGTTTGCATTTTGAAGGACTTTTTTTTTTTTTTGGAAGAGGTTTTTGCTATAGGGCGTGTGCACTTGCCAGAAAGACAGAGAGAGACAGAGACAGAAAGCGAGAAATCATCCCCCAGGGGGGATGGCCATGCCACAATCCCTTCTCCTCCATTCTCCTCTCGGGATCTTGGGCACGCACGCACATGTGCCCGGCATGAGTTTTAAGCCACCGGGTCCGGGACGTGAACCGTGGTTAACTACGTGGGAGCCCAGCGACATAGCCATTACGCTAACTGCTGGTCCCATCATTTTGAAGGACTTTATATAAAGGGAGTCATGTAACACGTACTTTTCGTTTGCTTGGTTTGGGGCATTTCATTCACACATTATATATTTTTTAAGAATTTTAAGTTGATCTATCTCTTCAGAGGGAGAGAGACGAACAGAGAGAGCGACATGGCCCCTAGCGGGGCCTTCTCACCGCCATGCACCCCCAGCCTCCTAGAGCCAGGGTCGTGGGGTGTCTACACTCAGCTGTGAGCAGGGCAGCCCTGGCTATAAACAGGGACGCCCACGTGAATGGTTCAGCTGCGCCCCTGCAGTCCTCTCGGACTCAGCCACATTGTCACGTGCCAGAATTCCTTTCACATTGCAGACTGCAGTTCTATTGTACGGATAAAGGGCCACTGGGGTACTCATTCACTCGTTGATGGTGTTGAGATTTTTTTTTTTTTTTTTGCTATTACAAATAAAGCTGCTGTGGACATCCCTCTGTGTGAATAGATGGGTTCTCACGGGTGACAAACCCTATCTGAAGTGGATGCTTATTTAACAAACTCTCCAACTGTTTTCCAAAATAGTCACACCACTCTAGACTTCCATCAGCAGCGTGGGAAGGTTCCGGTTCCTCCACATTCTCACAGACTTTGGCCTGGCAAGCTTAAAATGTAACTCATCCCAACAGGTGTACCCTGAGATCTAATTGTGATTTTAATTAGTATTTCCTTAATGACTGCGGACTTTGAAGATCTTTTCATTTATTTATTTGCAATCAGCATGACTTCTTTGGGGAAGTGTCTGTTCAAATTTTTTGCCCATTAATTTTTCTTTCTCGTGATTGAGTTCTAAGAGTTCTTTATGTATTCTTTTTTTTTTTGGAGAGGTTTTTGCTATAGGGTGTGTGCACTTGCCAGAAAGACAGAGAGAGACAGAGAGACAGAAAGCAAGAAATCATCCCTTGGGGGGATGGCCATGCCACAATCCCTTCTCCTCCATTCTCCTCTCAGGATCTTGGGCACGCGTGCACACACACCTGGCATGAGTTTAAGCCACTGGGTCCGAGGCTCGAACCGCAGTTGGCTACATGGGAGTTCAGCGACATAGCCATTACGCTGTTAGTCCCAAGTTCTTTATGTATTCTTTAAGTAAATTCTTCGTTAAATATATACTTTGCAAATATTTTTTCCAAACCTGTTGCTTGTCTCCTCACACTTTTACTAGCATTTGTAAGAGAGCAGATTTTTAATTGTGTTGAAGTCCAATTTGCCCACTTACTGTTTTGTGGAAATTGCTTCGGTGCAGGACCTGCGTCTTTGCCTAACCCCAGTCACCAAGGCTCTCTCCTGTGGTTCCTCTTTCTTTCTTTTCATTCTCTGTGCCAGGAGCAGAAGTGGCAGAGCGGGTTTTTAGATGTGAGGAGAGTTCTGTCTCTTATTCAATAGCTCTGCAGTCCGGCTACTTGCCATTTGGAGTTGAAGCATTAGAAAGAAGACAGGAACAGGAGACTTGAAAACGCTGTGAAACCTCACATTCTAACCAAGGGAAGGAAGCCACTAATTGCTTTTAAGAACTTGTCAGGAAGGTTTCAGATGTACTCAGAGTCGGGTTTTCCAAGAAAAAGCAAAAGCAATTTTATACAGTATTTTGAAATGTTAACCAGTGGCATTTATTATTTAGCAAAACTGGGAAATGGGAAGAACTTTCT